TTCTTTCATTCCTCACTCCCAAACGCTTACGGCGCACCTGCTGGGTATCTCTGTGCTAGGTTCTAGGGAAACAGTCGGGAGCAGAACAGACATAGTTTCCATCAGCTTGGAGGTAACTGACCAGCCAATGTAGACAAAGCACCTACTATGTGCTGGACATTGTGCCAGGTGCCCTGCTTCCAAAGTTGTCCCCCCAACCCAGATCCAGTCTCTCTTGGGTCCCCAAAACATCCTATGAAGTCAGGATAGGGGTTATGCTCCCATCTCACAGACTGAGAAACGGCCCAGAGAGGTAAAGCCACTTGTCACATGCACAGCTGTGCACGATTAGACCAGGCATTTTCTGATCACGATTCCTGCCTCCTGGTACACCTCGGATCCCATGGTACAAAATACCCAAGGTCAGGGAGAGACACTGTTACCCTCTTGTGCCAAGGAAAGTCCCCTCTTCTTGATCCCAGAAAGGCCACTGACCTTACCATAACAGGAAAACTAATCTCGTTACCCCATTATGCCACATTCTTTCTCAATACTCCCGTAACTCAAATTGCATCAGATCCTCACAACGTCCTAGTGATACAGGCAGGGTGGGGATTATTAGCCCCATCAATAAAAGGAAAACTGCAGCCGAATTAAATTTAAAAGAGTTTAATTGAGCAATGGACGATCTGTGAATTGGGCGGCCTCCTGAGCCAGAGTAGGCACCGGCGCAGCCTCGTGTTGGAAGATTTATGGACAGAAAAGTAAAGTGAGGTACAGAAGACGGAGATAAGGTGCAGCCAGATTGGTTACAGCTTGGCACTTGTCTTATTTGAACACGGTTTGAACAGCTGACTACATTTGACTGGTTAAAACTTGGTGATTGGCGGCCAGGCATGGTGGCTTCTTACTCCTGTAATCCCAGCACTTTGGGAGGCTGAGGCAACCAGATCGTCTGAGGTCAGGAGTTCGAGACCAGACTGGCCAACATGGTGAAACCCCATCTCTACTAAAAATAGAAAAATTAACCAAGCGTGGTGGCAGGAGAATCACTTGAACCCAGGAGGCAAAGGTTGCAGTGAGCCGAGATCATGCCACTGCACTCCAGCCTGGGCAACAGAGCAAAACAAAAAAATCCCCCAAACTGGCACAAGTATAGGCTTTGGTCTATTTACACCTCTATTTCTTATAGTTTACGATATACAGAGAAACACTTAGGCTGAACTTAAAATATATAAGAAAGCAGCATTAGACTAAATCTGATTTAATAATGCCCTTCATTTAGTTATTTTTTAGAATAAACTTGAGTCATTGATGTCACTGTCACCATTGTAAATGTACTTACTTGGTCTTGAAATCCACTGGGAAACAGGAAACAGTAGAACAGTGGGTTTTGTAAGGTGGGAATGAGGACTTTAGGTTTTTTTTTTTTAAAAGGTTAGAGTAGAGGGTTTTTTTAATGTTGGAATGTCCTGTTTACAATAAAAAGAACAAAACGTGGTTTTAGCATTTATGTGTTCTTTTTAAAATTTTAGATGATGATATCACATTTAGTATGAGTGACTCTATTTGGGTTTGATGTGGTCCGTTGGGGCCTGATGTATGAATTTAGCCCAAAACAATAGCCTCTCATAATTTTGTTTTCATTTTGTTTTGAGACGGAGTCCCGCTTTGTCGCCGGCTGGAGTGCAGTGCCGCAATCTCAGCTCACTGCAACCTCCGCCTCCCGAGTTCAAGCAATTCTTCTGCCTCAGCCTCCCAAGCAGCTGTGACTAGAGGCATGTACCACCACGCCTGGCTAATTTTTGTATTTTTAATAGACGGGGTTTCACCGTATTGGCCAGGCCGGTCTCAAACTTCTGACATCATAATCCACCTGTATTGGCCTCCCAAAGTGCTGGGATTACAGGCATGAGACAGTTTAGCTTTGTCACACAGGCTGGCATGCAGTGGCACTATATCGGCTCACTGCAATCTCTTCCTTCTGGGTTCAAGCAATTCTCGTGCCTCAGCCTCCTGAGTAGCTGGGATTACAAGCATATGCCACCATGCCCAGCTGATTTTCTGTATTTTTTAGTAGAGATGAGGTTTTACCATGTTGCTCAGGCTAGTCTTGAACTCTTGAGCTCAGGCAATCCGCCTGCCTCAGCCTCTGAAAGTGCTAGGATTACAGGTGTGAGCCACTGCGCCCAGCCCATAATTTTGTTTTAAAGTTCCCCCTTTTTGGTCAGGTTCTCACTTAGGTGAGATTGTGACCCAAACGTAGGGCCTTAGCACCACTCTCAGTTACCAGATTTTGAAAGCGAGGAGTCAGCTGTCACAGCCAGCAAATTGGACCCAAGCTCAAGCTCCACCACTTCGCAGGTGTATGATGCTGGCTCAGTCCCTGCACCTCTGCAACTGTTTTCTTTGGCGTCTAACACTGGTTGCCCATTCAAGAACTACAGTGCACCAGGTGCTGGCTGTGACACACCTGACCTCCTGTGGTCCTCATTAACAGCCCTGACAGTGAGAGCTGTCCCCCTTTACAGGTGAGAAAACGAAGCTCCAGTTGGCCATGGTGAAGATGGCCCAGAGTTAAGTCAACAGCATGTTCTGGGCCAGGCCCTGCACAGGCCTCCACATGTACCAAGGTCTTCCCTCTCAGCCCAGCCAGGGGCCTTCCCCATTCAAGCCCACCCAGTTCCTGGGCCTGCTCTGAGGTCACCCTCCAAGGTTCTATCATGCAGCCTACTGATGTGCCCCCAGGGAGCATCACCTGGTATGCCCCAGCTTGTACCAGGCAGGACTCACAGGGGCAAGTATTTGCCCTTACGAGGCCCCCCGGTGTAGAACACACAGGCGCAGAACCTCTGGGTTGGGAAGGTCTTTTGAAATTTCCCAAATGCCCTGGACTACAAAAATCACTTGGGGTGCTTGTGGAAAAAGTCTTATTCCCAAGTGTACTATTCTGGGAAGAGGATTGACTGGGCAGTGCATGAGGGAACTTCCTGGGGAGTTTCGTTCTGTCACCGAGGCTGGAGTGCCGTGGCATGATCTCGGCTCATTGCAACCTTCACCTCCAGTGTTCCAGTGATTCTCATGCCTCTGCCTCCCAAGTAGCTGGGATTACAGCATTTCTACCTGGCCAGAAATATTCTTTATCATGACCTGAGAGATAGTTAAACATGTGTATATTTGTGAAAAGTTGTCGAGGGCCTAATCGTCCCTGTGCTGTCTATATTGGGAGGTTTTGGGGAGGATCTGATGAGATTTCAATAAAGGAAGTGCTGGGAAAGAAGAGGTTTAGTGGAGGGATGTGACTGTATTCAAGCTGAAAAAGAGAGATTAGAGAGATATAAAAAGCCCCAAATAAATCCCTACCTCTCCTACCTCTGACCTCCGTGGTCAGAATCTCCCAGGTCAGGGCCTGGGACGCTGTTTTTTCCTTTTTGTTTTGAGACAGGGTCTTACTCCGTTGCCCAGGATGGAGGGCAGTGGCACGATCATAGTTCACTATAGCCTTGAGCGATCCTCCCGCCTCAGCCTCCCAAGTAGCTGACCCATCCTTGCTCTCATAACCAACATCAAGAAAAGGAAGGCACAGAGAGGGCACACAACCTCCCCAGCGTCACACAAGTAGCTGGGACTATAGGCATACATTACCACATATGGCTAATGTTTACATTTTAAAAATAGAGATGGGGTCTCACTGCATTGCCCCACTGCATTGCCCAGGCTAGTCTTGAACTCCTGGGTTCAAGTGATCCTCCTGCCTCAGCCTCCCAAAGTGCTGGGATTATAGGCATGAGCCACTGTGCCCAGCTGGAAGATGTACTTATTTTGTTTTTATTTTGAGATGGAATCTTGCTCTGTTGCTCAAGCTGGAGTGCAGTGGCACTATCTCAGCTCACTGCAACTTCCACCTCTCAGTCAAGATTCTCCTGCCTCAGCCTCCTTAGTAGCTGGGATTACAGGTACCCACCACCACACCTAGCTAATTTATGTATTTTTAGTATAGACAGGGTTTCACCATGTTGGCCAGGCTGATCTTGAACTCCTAGCCCCAGATGATCTGCCCGCCTCAGCCTCCCAAAGTGTTGGGATTACAGGTGTCAGTCACTGCAGCTGGCTGGAAGCTGTATTTTTAACAAGTCATTTTCTGAGCAGATTTGTTTGGGAAACTTTGTCTTAGAGATCATCCCATTGTCCAAATGGGAAGACTGAGGCCTAAAGAGGAGGAAAGGCTTGCCAGTGAGGGGAACCACTATGAGCAGACCCGGCATCTTCCAGCTGCTGCCCCCGAGACACACACAGGGAAGGAACTATCAGAGTCAGCCTGGAGCCAGCATCCCCTAGCCTGTCAGCTGAGCCTTGTGGGCTCTTCCAAGGAGCTGTGGCTGGAGAGAAGAGTTGCCCTTGTGTCCTGGTGGGCACTGGGAATGAGGCAGGGGCTGGGGGACTTCTGCATAGCTGCCTAGGGAGGGAGCCTTGCTAAAGACCAGCCCAGTAACCTTTCAGCTGCAGAGTCATAGGGACAGGACGTGGAGCTCCGCCCTCCACCAAGCCCAGCACCTCTGGCAAGCCTTGCTGGCCAGGACTGGTCATTACTGGAGGAAGTTGTTTATGGCTGTCATAAAGAGCTGGATGAAGCACTTGGGCAGGAATGTGCGGTGGTCAGAGTGAGCTGCAGGTCAGATCCAAGGAAGGACTTCCCTACAGGGCAGTGGGCCAGTTCTGGGGATTACAGTAAGGCTCAGACTTCTAGCCGCTGACAGCACCCCCCCCATCCTGGCAGGAAACAGACACAGAAGGGCCCTGCAGGCCTGGTGCCAAGCGATGGCATCTTTAGGGCTTTGATCAGAAGCTAGCTGTCCCCTGAGCACTCCCAGCCTCAACACCTCTGCACACTGTGCTTCTAAGCCTAGAATGTTCCATGCTGTCCAACCAATGAATCCCTCCCCCTGCCCTCTCCCTACCTCACCCCAGCCCAGACAGCAGTTTCGGCTCCTCCCCAAGTTCCCAGAACCCAGTGCCACGAAGTCCTTGGTGGCATTTATCAGAGCCTTGGAGAATCATGGATTGTCACCCTCTCGCCATGGCAAGCTCCTAGAGACCTGGAATCCCACTTTGCTGATGGCAGCAGCCCCGTGGCAGCAGAGGCCGGCACTGGCCGGGCGGTAAGGGAATGTCACTAGGTGGAAAGATGACTCAGAGGATGGGTGGCTGAAGAGACAGCTCAGCAGCAGTGAAGATGGGTGCTGGAGCCAGGCTGCCTGGGTTCTGATCCTGCCTCTGCCCCTCACCAGCTGGGCAGCTCAGGGCAGGTGACCTCACCCCTCCACACCTAATTGAAGCCACTGAGTTGTTGTAAGGATGTGTTCATACACACCAGGGCATAAAACAGGCTGGATGTGCTAGGTGTTGAGTGAACATCAGTCAGGAGCAGGGTTATGGGGAGTGGGGACAAATCGGGTGGATGGACTGCAGGGCAGACATGGGCAAGTGGGGCAGATGAGGGGTTGGAGCTGAGAGCAGATGGACCCTTCCCTACCCACTCGGCCAAACTGCTATGTACTCTGGGATTTTCCAGAGACCTGTTCATCTGGATGGCAGCAGACAGTCCTTCCAGCTCTAAGCCTCTAGAACCCAGAAGCTCACGTGCCTGCTGATCACCCCTGCTTCATAGGGTATGTTCTTAAGCAGCAGAGGCCCGGTTCTTATAGTCAAAGGGCTCCCATCCCCAGAGAGAACTGGATCTCTCTCCCCTCAACATGCACTTGGGAAGAAACAAATAACCTATCAGGTAGCCCGACACTTTCTTTCCCTCTTGAAGGGGAGAGAGAGAGAAACTCTAGGATGGGGTACTGGCCACTGTCTGTGGGGGTGGGATGAGCAGCAGGCTGGAAGGCTGCTGGGGTTGAGATGAACAGAAAGAGAGAATGTTCCCAGCAAGACCTGAGTGTGCAAAGGCAAGGAGGCGGGAATGTGTGGGTTGGGGGCAGGGAGAAAGGCAGGAGCAGGCAGCCTGCAGTCAGGGCAGAGGGGCAGGCTGGACCCACCACAAAGGGCTCTGCTCCCCGAGCACAGCCTGGTCAACAGCAGGCCATCTGCATGTCTCCTCTCACTACCTGCCCCATCTCCAGCCCCATTTTACAGGCAAGGACAGTGAGGCTCAGACTGTCTGTCACTTACCCAAGGCCACACAGCAGAGCTGGAATCAGAAACCCCAAGGGTCTGGATTCTGGAGCCAAAGCTTCTCTGGGGGTCCCTGAGGTTCCAGGATGGTCATGAGTCCCCAGATCAACTCTGGGAGCAAAGGACTGAAGCCAGAGGACTGATGGCCGGAGAGACAGCAGGAGGGAGGTGTGGGAGGGAGATGGCGGGGGAGGGAGAGAGTGGGGCCCAGAGACACCATGCGTGAGGACTGCAACACCCTGGCAGGGGTCGGGGTGGGGGATGGCTGCTTTGCAGGCACATAGGCTTCTGCCATGCCACGGAGAGGACATGTTCTGCCCCAGGCCACCTTGCTCTAAGCCAAGGCTAGATGCCAAGTGGAGAGAGCAGTGGGGGAGGATGGCCATGCACTGTGCATCTGAGATGCTTGCCAGTTACCTCCAGCACTTTTCCCAGCACCCTGCCTTGAGGATGAGCTGAAGTCAGAGCCTCCCCAGTACTAGGAGACATGGCCATCCCATCCTTGCTCTCATAACCAACATCAAGAAAAGGAAGGCACAGAGAGGGCACACAACCTCCCCAGCGTCACACAGCAAATCAGGGACTGGGATAGGTCTCCCCACTAACCAGCTGAGGATTTAGAGGGCAATTACTGGAAGACAAGGGAATATTTGAGGCACAGTGTGGACGCCAATGTCATGGACTTCCATACATTAGTGATTTGTGGCTGCTGATGAAAATATTTCAAACTGAAACTATTTTAGAAAATTTCTCATTTTTTCATTTTCATTTATTTATTTGTTTATTTTGAGACGGAGTTTCACTCTTGTTACCCAGGCTGGAGTGCAATGGCGCAATCTTGGCTCGCCGCAACCTCTGCCTCCTGGGTTCAGGCAATTCTCCTGCCTCAGCCTCCTGAGTAGCTGGGATTACAGGCACGCGCCACCATGCCCAGCTGATTTTTTGTATTTTTAGTAGAGACGTGATTTCACCATGTTGACCAGGATGGTCTCTATCTCTTGACCTTATGATCCACCCGCCTCGGCCTCCCAAAGTGCTGGGATTACAGGCTTGAGCCACCACACCCAGCCCAAAAAATCCTTATTTTACATATTTTGTCATTGTATTAATAAGAGTAATAATAACAAACCCTTTCACGGACCTCACTACATGCCACACATCGTTCTAAACACTTTACCTATATTAACTCACTTGATCCCCACAACAACCTTCATGGTAAGCACTATCATTATCCCCATTTTACAGATGACAAGACAGAAGCACAGAGAGGTTAAGCAGCAAGCCCAAGGTCACACAGCCAGCAAGTGAGCAAGCCAGAATTCAGCCTGACTTGGGGATGTTTCTGTCTTCCTGGACTGAGCATAAACTCCTGAAGCAGCAGGCAAGACTGGAAACAAACCATTCACCCTCTCTGCAGTATGTACATTACAGGTACACATCACACATTTGCAGATGAAGGGACTGCATGCAGCTACTGTTTGATTCATACTCATTATACTGTTTCCAAACGTTATTTCCTTGTATCTGCACCATGGTCCGGGGTGGGGGGGGGGCGCCTTCGGGGCTTCCTATTATCATAACTTTACAGGAGAGGTGAGGTGACTTGCCAGAAGTCACACAGCAAGAGTGTCACATCTAGGGTCCAAGTCTCTGATCTTTGCACAGTATCTTGTGGCCGGCCCTGCAGTGGAAATCATTCGGGGACTTGCAGTGGCAGGGATGGTAGGACTCCAGGTTCAAGACCTAGCTCTGCCCCTGGCCAGGTGGGCGCCCCCTGGACACCCCCGCCCATAATCCCCTACTTCAGCTCATCCTCAAGGCAGGACACTGGCCAATCCTGCTATCCCCACTCCCCTCCCCCTAGCAGAGGATGTGTTGACTGCTCAGATGGCCCCACACAGGCCCTGTGAGAGGAGGCTGAGGAGGAGCCAGGCTGTGGGGAAAGGCGCAATGAACTTGTAGTCTGCTGGACAGCGGCCAGCACAACCTGAATCCCTGGGTGGCCAGTGCGGAGGGCTCAGGTCAGAGGAGGAAGGATGCGGGTGTTCCCAGAGACAGTGCTCAGGGCAGCTGGGCTCCAGATAACAGCGTTCCTCACATTCCCAGAGGACGCTCCAGCCAGCCTCTCGGAAAGCTCCTGTGGGTTCTGCATTTGATCTCTGCTGCGACCTTGAGACACAGCAGGGCGGGGCTGACGCCTAGAGCCCCAGACAGGAAACTGGGGCCTAACGAGGTGAGGTCCCACCCAAGGGGACGCAGCTCAGCAAGCCCCCATTCCCTCTGATCACTGGCTGCATGACCTTGGGTACATCACCTCACCCATCAACTGGGGACCATCCCTGCAAGAGCCTACGTCAATGTAGGAACAATGATCCCGTGAGACAATAAACAAGGAGAGAAAGACCCAGGGCCTGGCACACATTAAACAATAGGTGTTAGTCAGAGCAACAGGGATCACGAGTGTGCCGGACACTGCTCTAAGCGCTTTACACACGAAGCCATCTGGTTCTCCCTCATTGCTCCCAGTGTACAGAGAAGTCAAGGAACTTGGCCAAGGTCACATCGCTGCTAACAGGATCCAAAGAGGAAGAGGGAAGAACTCTCTATGGAGCACCTACTATGCGCTGGGGGCTTTTCACTTAGTCTTCCAATCTCAGTGAAGTGGGAATGTTCAAGTCTGGCTCAGAAGGGAAAACCAAGGCTCAGAAAAAGGAGGGAGGCTCAGGGTCACACAGCAACCATGTGGGAGGGCTGGGATTCAGGCCAGGCCTGTCCAGCTTCACATCCAGTGTACATGCCACCCCCATCCCAGACAAGGGCCAGGACAACCTCTATCACCAATGGAAAACCTAGTGCCTCAGCCATCCCAGGCACAGGGGGCCCTGCCTCAGTGGGGCTGCATGAGCTCATTCTGCCGGGGTATGTGTGTATGTGTGTGTGCATGGTGGGGGGCGGGGAAAGGTCCTGGTAATGCCTGGCTGCTGCCCCATGACTGATCCTCACGTTAGCCTGCTCTCTTGGCTCCCCGTGGGCTTTCCTGTAATTGCAGCTTCCTGAGGGCCTCGTATCTAGACAGAGTGCCCCCTCCACAAAGGGAGGGCTTCAGTCACGTTGGCCCCCTCCCTCCCAGGTCAGCTCCTCTGGGTTTACAATTCTGCATAGAGAGGCTGAGATGATGGGGGCAGCCCAGGGTTACAAGTCGGAACCCTCGCTAAATACTCAAGGGCTAATTCCTTGACTGCAGAGCAGGGATAATAAACTCTGTTCTACTTCCAGTATCCACGTCTTAGAAGGGCAGGAACCACACTTCTAAGGAACAATGCAGATGTCTCCACGGCTCTACACTGTGCTCCCTCCGGTGAGTGGAGTGGACATCTACTGTCATTTTTGGTGACCCAGAGTCCGCTTCCCCTTCCTAACAATACCACTGAGTTTCCTTGGGAAGTGATCCTCCCTCTTTCAGCCTGGTTGGGGGGTACTGATCCCAGCTCCAGCTCCAGGCAGACCCTGACTGGCTCTAGCTGGAAGACTCTCTCTGCCTGCTGGGTTATGAGGATGTGAAGTGGTGGGGAGGGGCACTTCGTGCAGCCTGAAGAGGAAGCAACCTCTCAGAGATGGAATAGTGAAAGGCAGAGACCTTGAGTCTTTGATAGCATCACTTGGGCTCCTAGATGCAGCTATGCCTGAAGCCTTCTCTGAACATCCTAGTTACATGAGCCAATTAATTCCCACATTGGACATGAGCCAATTAATTCCCACATTGGTTGTCTTGGCTTTTCTGTTACTTGGAACACAGAGTCTGACCTCAGAACCACAGCTCAGCCAGTTTTTCTGAGCCCCTTAGATTGTGAGCAATCAAGTCAGGTCATTCATATTCTGCCAGCTGTTTCTGCCAGAGGAAAAATCTAGCCAACAAGCTAAAGCTGACAAGTTTCAAGTATGAGGTAATAAGACTCCAACTTCCTAAAAGTCACTTTCTACTTGGGATCTATAAACTTGTAGAATTATAGAAAGTTTAGCCAGGCATAATGGCTCACGCCTGTAATTCCAGTACTTCAGGAGGCTGAGGCAGGTGAATCACAAGGTCAGGGGTTTGAGACCAGCCTGGCCAACATGGTGAAACCCCATCTCTACTTGAAAATACAAAAATTAGCTAGGTGTGGTGGTGTGCATTTGTAGTCCCAGCTACTTGGGAGGCTGAGACAGGAGAACCGCTTGAACCCAGGAGGCGGAGGTTGCGGTGAGCCGAGAGCCTGCCATTGCACTCCAGCCTGTGCAACAGAGCAAGACTCCATCTCAGAAAAAAAAAAAAGGGATTATAGAAAGTTTTTGGGCTGGACTTGCATTAATAGCCCTGCATGACTCAGACCCTCACTTTCTGACAGGTTGTTATCCACTGAGCTCAACAACTCTTTGGCCACCAGGTTCTATGCATCTATTGTGTGCCCGGCCCTGTTACAGGACCTGCAGGTACAAGCTCTGCCTTCCAGGCCCTTCAGGTAATGACTGGTTATAATTCATCTTTCTAGCAGGTTTTACACAAAAGGCCCCAGAGGTCCTTCAGAGGGGGAATACCACTGCACCCATTGCACAGAGCAGAAAGGAGAGAGACATCAAGGTGAAGCAATCTGCCTGAGGTCCTTCTGCTAAAAAGAGGGGCAGGGCCAGGCCGTGTCCCCAGATCTGCCTGGCCCCGACCCTACTGCTTTTTCTCTAGTCACTGGAATGGAGTGAGCTGGGACTGTCATTTATTTGAAAGAATTTGTTCCGCTCAGGAGCAGTCAGAGTGGTTTCAAAAGCTGAAGAAAATGGGAAAGCTAAGTGTCACGAGCGTCCTGTTTGCCTGCAGGTCTTGACTGCTTCAGAAGCCCCAGTATTCGCCCTGTCCAGCTTTATTCTCCTTCCTTTTTTTTGAGACGTCTTGCTCTGTCACTCAGGCTGAAGTGCAGTGACACGATCATAGCTCACTGCAGCCTCAATCTCCTGAGCTCAAACGATCCTCTTGCCTCAGCAAAGCACCAAGTAGCTGGGACTACAGGCAAGTGGCACTACACGTGGCTGATAATTTAATTTTTAGCAGAGACGAGGTCTCGCTATATTGCCCAGACTGTCTCAAACTCCTAAGCTCCAGCAATCCTCCTGCCTCAGCCTCTCAAAGTGCTGGGATTCCAGGGGTGAGGCCCTGCACCCAGCCAAAGTTTCATCTCCTATAGGGCTCGCTGCTTGCAGGCTGTGGCCAGAGAGGAAACTGGCACTGCCCTGAGATCCAGGCCCCAAATACTTTCATGGGAGACCTTGTCACCCCAAGTGAGCTGTCCCAGCCTCTCTCAGGCCTCTGCCCCTGTGTCTCTATCTAAGACCCAGCAGACCATGACTAAACACCCTCTGTGCCCTAGGGCTCTCCCTATATGTTATTCAACCAACATCCGCTGGACCACTATTTATTGAGCAGCCACTATATGCCAGGGGCTGTTCTAGGTGCTGAACATAGCAGCCTAAATCCCTGTCGGTGGGACAGGCAGACAAGAAAGCAAGTAAAAGCCATAGAACGCCAGGTGGCGGTAAGTACAGTGGGGAAAAGAAGACAGGGAGGACAGGAGGTTTGCAGTTTTAAATAGAGAGGTCAGAGAAGGTCTCACCGAGAAATCATCTCACCGTATAGCCTTGCAATAATCCCACGCAGGCCAGAACGAGATTCCCAAATCACGGATAAGGAAGGATAAGGTTTCAGGATTAACTCTCGAGTCCACACATGTCAGTACAACCAGCGCAACTGGATTCTTGCCCAGGGCCGCCTGGCTCCCACGTGCCCTCTCCCGTAACTCTACCAAGTGTTACTATCAGCGCTTTTGCAGATGAAGAAACTGAAACCACAAACCCAGACCCTCAGGAGTACACCAGGGTGAGAGTGGCGGGCCGCCCTCTGGACCTGCCTCTTGGCAAAGCCCACATCCGCTACCTAGACCTATCTTCAGCGTCAGCTCCGGGCTTGTTGAAACTCAATCCTCCTCTTTGCTGACTCCATGTCCTCCCAGAATCCTCCTCCCTTTCCCAGAGCCCTTTTGGCTCTCTATCCCAGGTCATATGAGTACTAAATTGTCCAACCCACCTTTGTTCTGCCTCCTCAATTAACTTCTGGCCCATCACTAAACCTGCATTTGCATTAAACTACAAAAGGCATCTTGCAAATGGCCAAGGACAGACAGTCAGAATACACATGTAAGGTCTGGGCATGGTGGCTGACACCTGCAATCCCAGGACTTTGGGAGGTCAAGGCAGGAGGACTGCTTGAGCCCAGGAGTTCAAGACCAGCCTACGGAACATGGGGAAATCCTGTGTCTACATAAATTAGCCAAGCACGGTGGCACGCACCTGTAGTCCCAGCCACTCAGGAGGCTGAGACTGGAGGATTGCTTAAGCCCAGGAGGTCTAGGATGCAGCAATCCGACACTGCGCCACTGCACTCCAGCCTGGACCACTGTTTATTGAGCAGCTTCTATAGAGCAAGACCTTGTCTCAAAAAAAAAAGCATCCACATGTAAGGGGGTGGGAGACTTCTCACTGTGCTTTCCCATCTGCCTGTATTTGGCAATCTCCCAAATTCCATTCTAATCTATTTTTTTTTTTTTTTTTGATACGGAGTTTCACCCTTGTCACAGAGGCTGGAGTGCAATGGCATGATCTTGACTCACTGCAACCTCCACCTCCCAGGTTCAAGCGATTCTCCTGCCGCAGCCTCCCGAGTAGCTGGGATTACAGGCGCCCACCACCACGCCTGGCTAATTTTTGTATTATTAGTAGAGACGGGGTTTCGCCATGTTGGCCAGACTGATCTTGAACTTCTGACCTCAAGTGATCCGCCCACCTCAGCCTCCCAAAGTGTTGGGATTACAGGCGTGAGCCACTGCGCCTGGCCCCAGTCTAATCTTCTGAATACTGTGGCATGGTGGAAAGACAGTCTTGGGGGAAGTGGACCTCAGGTTAAGTCCTGGCTATGCAGCTTTGAAAGCAACTTTGGAGCTTCAGGTTGCTTATCCATAAAACAAGGACTAGTCACCCTCACCTTGCAGGGTTGTTTTATAGATAAAACGCAGTGGAGAGCATGTGTTAACAATTAAAATTCAACAGAGTGTATTTGGAAAGCAGAGCCGGGCAGATAATCAACAATAATCTATTGAACTGAAAGATGTCTGCACAGAGGGGAAACAACTGTCACCCGCAGAAGGACAGCTGCAGTCACTGTGCTCCTACACTTTGAGATAGGTACTCTTAGTATCATTCACATTTTATGGATGAGGAAGAAGCTCATCCTAGCTCAGAGCTAGGATTCTGAGCCCAAATTGTCCAAGTCCAAACTACAAGCTCTTAACCCTTATGCTAGGTTAAGTAAATGGTGGCTTTCAGTGTTGAAAGAACTGTGACACAGCATTAAGTGCTGACCCAGGAGGGGATGGTGGGCAGTCCCGCGCCAAAGCCTATGTTCCCACCATGGTATCAGCACGACAAAGCTGAAAGGGACTCTAGGAATAATCTAACCCGACACCTTCATCTTTTTCCCCAGGAGAAACCTGAGGCCCAGAGAGGTAGCATGACCGACCCAAAGTCACACAGCCAATTAGTTGAAGAATCAGGGCAAGCACCCTGGTGTCCTGACTCCAGAACCCCATGCCGTCACTCAGCGTCACCTTGACCATGAGGCATGGTCGAGGAAGGAGTCTTGAGGATGTGCTGTAAGTGTTTCAGCAGAAGTGGAGGGAAGGGAGTCTAACTGCTGGAGCAGCCCATGTCAAGGCCATGAACGTCTTTGCTGGAGAACAGGGAGCTGTAAGGTGCTCACAGAGGTTTGGTGGGACACAGGATGAGGTCGTTTACTCATATTGAATATTTGCATTCGGCTCTTATTTTTAATGCTCTCTCATTCAACTTTATGTTGCTAATGTTTTTCCTTGTTTCTCTTGTATGTTTCTAATGTTTATTTTAAAATCTTGGTCTTGGGCTGGGTGCATTGGCTCATGCCTGTAATCCCAGCATTTTAGGAAGCTGAGACAGGCTGATCACATGAGGTCAGGAGTTCCAGACCAGCCTGGCCAATGTGGTAAAACCCCATCTCCACAAAAATACAAAAATTAGCCAGGCATGATGGCAGGTGCCTATAATCCCAGCTTCTCGGGAGGCTGAGGCAGGAGAATCACTTGAACCTGGGAGGCAGAGGTTGCAGCAAGCCGAGATCACACCACTGCACTCCAGCCTGGGTGTCAAAGCGAGGCTCCATCTCAAAAAATTAAAAATTAAAAAAATATATCGGTATTTTTATACTAATATCCCCTACAGTTTTCCTTTTGAATTCACTGTGCTCTGGCTAGTGGTGGGGCAGAAGCTGGGGGAATCCACACACTCCTTGCTTTTAAAACAAACAGAGAAGGAAGACACGTGGCTCCTGGGTCATCCTTCTCAACATCAATCCCAAGTAACGACAGAGCAAAACATCACTAAATCTAGGCAATGGGCTGGGTGCGGTGGCTCACGCCTGTAATTCCAGCACTTGGGAAGGCTGAGGTGGGTGGATCATGAGGTCAGGAGTTCAAGACCAGCCAAGATGGTGAAACCTGTCTCTACTAAAAACACAAAAAAATTAGTCAGGTGCGGTGGCATGTGCCTGTAGCTACTCGGGAGGCTGAGGCAGAAGAATGGCCTGAACCCACGAGGTGGAGGTTGCAGTAAGCCAAGATCGCACCACTGCACTCCACCCTGGGATACAGAGTGAGACTCCGTCTCAAAAAAAAAAAAAAAAAAAAAAAACCTAGGCAATGATGGGGAAACAGAATCTCCTAGGGAGATGGAAGGGAGTTTTAAACTGGTGCGTGTAGGGTGGTGGGGAGGGGTTGCTGCAGCCAGGAGAAAAGGCAGGTCATGGTCATTAGGCTGAAGAGAATATTACAGAACAGAAAACAGGGTTGAGTTCTCCTCTTTTCTCTTTGTGCCAAGACCAGGCCCCCATACACACCCACTGTCCTGGGACAACTAAGGTCAGAGCTGGGTGTGGGGCTGGCATTCAGCCCCACAGCCGCCCTCTGGACCTGTCTCTTGGCAAAGCTCACATCTGCCACCCTAGACTTCAGTCTCCAGTGTCAGCTCTGGGTCTTGTTGAAACTCAATCCTCCTCTTTGCTGACTCAGTGTCCTCCCAGAATCCTCTTCCTTTTCCCAGAGCCCCTTTGGCTCTCTCTCTCCCAGGTCCTGTGAGCCCCAGATTATCCAACCCCCCTTTGTTCTGCCGCTTCAATTAACTTCTGGCCCATCACTAAGCCCACATTTGCATGAAACTCACAAAAAGCGTCCTGCATAAAGCAGCCCAGGCGGATGGCACAGGCATCTGATGAGATGACGTCAAAGCATGGGCTGCAGTGCAGCGCTTTGGGAGGCCAAGGCAGGAGGCTCGCCTGAGCCCAAGAGCTTGAGACCAGCCTGGGCAACAAAGTAAGACCCTATCTCGTACTTTGTTGAGGAAAAAAAAAAATCAAAAATCAAATAAAAAAATTGGCTGGGCTCTGTGGCTCACAACTGTAATACCAGCACTTTGGGAGGCCAAAGTGGGTGGATCACTTGAAGCCAGGAGTTGGAGACCAGCCTGGCTGACATGGCAGAACCGTATCTCTACTAAAAATTCAAAAATTAGCCGGGCATGGTGGCGGGTGCCTGTAATCTCGGCTACTTGGGAGGCTGAGGCACGAGAATCGCTTGAACCTGGGAGACAGAGGTTGCAGTGAGCTGAGGTTGCACCACTGCACTCCAGCCTGGGTGACAGAGTAAGACTCCGTCTCAAAAAAACCAAAATCAAAAAATTATCTGGATGTGGTAGTACACGCCTGTAATCCCAGCTACTTGGGGGACTGAGGCAGGGAGAGTGCTTGAACCCAGGATGTCAAGGCTACAGTGAGCCATGTTCGTGCCACTGCACTCCAGCCTGGGTGACAGAGTGAGACCATGTCTGAAAAAAAAAAACCATTCAAAACATGGCAGCAAACAGTGTGGAACTGCAGGGACTGCAGGAATTGAGAGGGGACCCCACAGTCACGACACAGGGCATCTACCATCGCTCCACCATCCCTTAGACCCTGAGTCTGAAGAATTCTGACCTACGTATGCAGCCCCTTCCCCTCACTGTCTCTCTCTGGGGTCTGAAAGAAAGGCCCAATCCCGTGGAGGGAGAATGGTGAGGTCAACCCTAGTGAAAAACCAAGGGGTGCTGACGTCCAGGGGTTCCTGTCCTGGCACTGTCGTCTCTTTGGACTTATTGGAGCTGGGAGACTAAGGTCAGCCTTAAACTCTTACCAAAGACACAGAACCAAACAGAATAGCTGAAACCCCCCACGGAATAAGCTCACAAGTTAACAAACAGGGTATCCGGCCGGGCACGGTGGCTCACGCTTATAATCCCAGCACTTTGGGAGGTTGAGGTGGGTGACAAGGTCAGGAGTTCAAGACCAGTCTGGCCAACATGATGAAAACCCATCTCTACTCAAAATATAAAAATTAGCCGGGCATGGTGGCAGGTACCTGTAATCCCAGCTACTCAGGAGGCTGAGGCAGGAGAATCGCTTGAACCCGGGAGGCGGAGGTTGCAATGAGCCGAGACTGTACCATTACACTCCAGCCTGGAAGACAGAGTGAGACTCCGTCTCAAAAAAAAAGAGCCGGGCGTGGTGGCTCACACCTGTAATCCAAGCACTTTGGAGGCCAAGGTGGGTGGATCACCTAGGTCAGGAGTTCAAGACCAGCCTGACCAATATAGTGAAACCCGATCTTTAAAGAAAAAAGGGAAAAAAAAAAAACCCAAAAAAACAGTATCCAAGGAGCACAATGACTTCAAAAGAAAGCCAAACTGATTAGAAATACCGCTGGAATCAGCCATATTAGATCAGACCTAGCAAAAACCGTAATTGCCTAGGTCTAGTGATGTCTTGCTTTTCAGTATTTGGGATTAATTTGAGAGGGAGCATCCAAGAGCCATATCTTCCCTCACTGATAATTTTAAGGGCAACAAAGTGCATGGGCCCTCCAACTCCAGCCCACCCCACCCCACCACCAGCCACAGCACAATGAATTCTAAAGAAAAACCGTAACAGGGCCAGGTGAGGTGGCTCACACCTGTAATCACAGCACTCTGGGAGACCAAGGTGGGTGGATTACTTGAGCCCAAGAGTTTGAGACCAGCTGAAGCAACACAATGAAACCCCGTCTCTACAAAACCAAAAAACAAAAAACAAAACCTAGCTGGGCATGGCGGTGCGCGCCTATAGTCCCAGCTACTCAGGAGGCTGAAGTGGGAGGATCACTTGAGCTCACGGGTTGGGGCTGCAGTGAGTCAAGATCACGCCACTGCACTCCAGCATGGGCAACAGAGGAGACCCTGTCTCAAAAGAACCTAACAAAACAAAACAAAAAATCCCCTAAACTGTGAGAAACACACAAAAGAAAGGAGCAAAGATGTTAGCAAAACAGAAAGAGGAACTGTTAAAAGACCCCAGTGGAAACATCCTATGTGAAAAACCAGTTGAAATAACAAACACATAAGTGGAGTAAATTACAGAGTGGATCTAGCTGCTGAATGATGGAGGAGAGAGCTAAGTTGTAGTTTGCGGACGCTTCCAGGAGAAAGCAGAAAAGAATTAAGGAACAGAAAATTGGCCAGGCTTGGCGGCTCATGACTGGAATCCCAGTGCTTTGGAAGGCCCAGTCAACATGGCAAGACCCCACCTCTACAAAAAAAAATTATGTTTTTAATTAGCCAAGTGTGGTGTGCACCTGTGGCCCCTGCTATTTGGGAGGCTGAGGTGGGAGGATTGCTTAGGCCCAAAGGTTTGAGACTGAAGGGAGCCATGTTCATACCCCTGCACTCCAGCCTGGGTGACAAAATAAGACCCTGTCTCAAAAACAAACAAACAAACAAAAAACCAGAACATTGAAAGAAAAGTTAAAAGAACATTAACCCCAATCTTACTGCATTAACTCATGATTAACCATAAACCTAACTGTAAGTCATAGTCACAAAGCTTCTAGAAGAAAACCTAAAAGTATATCATCATGATTTTGGGGTAGGCAAAGAATACTAACCCCATAGAAGAAAAAAATGATAAATTGGACTTTATCAAAACTTAAAACCTCTTTTTATCAAAAGATACCAGTAAGAAACTGAATAGATGAGGCATGGTGGCTCACACCTGTAACCGCAGTGCCTTGGGAGGCCACGGGAGGAGGATTGTTTAAGCCCAGGAGTTCGAGACCAGCTTGGGCAACATAAGAAAACCCCATCTCTACAAAAAATTCAAAAATTGCCTGTGGTGTGCACCTGCAGTCCCAGCTACTTAGGCAACTGAGGCAGGAGGTTCACTTTACTCAGGGAGGTTGAGGCTGCATTGAGCAGTGTTTGTGCCACTGCACTCCAGCCAGGGCGACAGAGCAACACTGTCTCAAAAAAAAAAGAAAGAGACAATGAAAACATCCTAAAGGTCTAGAGAAAAACAACACTTACAAAAGAAATAAATGTTGAATTGACCAAAGTACAGATGGGAAAAAAAATTCGGCTGGGAATTTTCTATACAGCTAGACAGCCATTTAAATGTTAAAGACTGGCCGGGCACGGTGGCTCATGCTTGTAATCCCAGCATTTTGGGAGGCCGAAGTGAGTGGATCACTTCAGGTCGAGAGTTCCAGACCAGCCTGGCCAACAAGGTAAAAACGTTGTCCCTACTAAAAATAAAAAAATTACCCAGGCGTGGTGGCGGGCACCTGTAATCCCAGCTACTTAGCAGGCTAAGGCAGGAAAATTGCTTGAACCCAGAGGTTGTGGTGAGCTGAGATTACATCACCACACTTCAGCCTGAGAGACAGAACCGAGACACCAACTCAAAAAAAAAAAAAAAAAAGCGCATTAAAGGCTAATACAAGTCACAGCATCAAGCACTCAGGTTTGTACAAAAAGACAGCCCCTCAGCCCCTCCAAAAGAAAGAATCAAATAATTTTGAAGGAATGATTTAATTAGCAGAAGCAAATGCCACAGAATATATTCAAGATAGCCAAAGACTGAGCAAATAATTTAGTATAGTTTTCAAAACAAATTCAAGTTCAAAGATAAGCACAAAAAGAACATAGATCTATACCTCAGAATTAGACAATTAAAAAAAAATCTAGCTGGGCATGGTGGCTCATGCCTGTAATCCAAGCACTTTGAGAGGCTGAGGTGGGCGGATCACCTGAGGTCAGGAGTTTGAGAACAGCCTGACCAACATGGAGAAACCCTATCTCTACTAAAAATACAAAATTAGCCAGGCATGGTGGTGCGTGCCTGTAATCACAGCTACTCGGGAGGCTGAGGCAGGAGAATTGTTTGAACCCAGGAGGTAGGGGTTGCAGTGAGCTGAGATCGCGCCTTTGTACTCCAGCCTGGGCAACAAGAGCAAAACTCTGTCTCAAAACAAAACAAAACAAAACAAAATAGACGATTTTCATGTGACATCACGGGGGCAGAGGGGAGCCTGTCAGTGAATGGTGTGGAAACTGAAGAGAGGTCAGGGAGCAAGGGACGTGAGAAAATGCTAATCTTGTCTTTGTAGGGAAAAGCCACAGATAATTTTTCAAAGTGATAAAACAGAAAAAGCAGAATAAATTGAAATAAAAATGTAGGCTAGTAGAAACAAAATACATAAACATTCTTTTCAGGAACAAGCAAACATTTAAAAAATTCATCCCCTACCAGGACAAAAAGTAAGTATCACAGTTCAAATAATAGGTTTTCACATAGACTACATTCTGCAACCATCAAAGTGTTTAAAAGGATAAATCATTATCCATACACTTAGAAATGAAAAAATTCAAGGATCAAGGAAAAGTCATAGTAGAAATTTAAAATTACTTAGAACTGAGTGATTAAAAATACCACATTTCAAAAATATATAATGCAGCAAAGAAAGGTTAAAACGTAATAAACTAGGCAGAGCATGGTGGCGCATACCTGTTATCCCAGCACTTTGGGAGGCCAAGGTGGGCAGATCACCTGAGGTCAGGAGTTCGACTAGCCTAGCCAACATGGTGAAACCCTATCTCTATGAAAAATACAAAAATTAACCAGGCATGGTGGTACACACCTGTAATCCGAGCTACTTGGGAGGCTGAGGCAGGAGAATCGCTTGAACCTGGGAGGCAGAGGTTACAGTGAGCTGAGATCATACCATTGCACTCCAGCCTGAGCAATACAGTGAGATTCCATTGCAAAAAAAAAAAAAAAAATTAATAAGCCAGGTGTCCAAATTGGGAAACCAACTTAGAGACCAACTCTGGTTTCTATTTAGAAAAAAAAAGAAACCAAAGAAAGTAAAATGAGATTATAAAGAACAGAAATGAAACAGAAAACAAAGCTTAAATCGAGAAGATCAAAGTCACAAGTTGGTTCCTCAAAAAGGTCCATAAACCTGTGGCAATGTTAATCAGGAAAGAGAGCGGGAACTCGAGAAAGGGGGAGTCACTACGGAAAAGAAATAGAAATTAAAGCTGCTAACAGCAACGCTACGCCAATAAATTTGAAAACATAGATTAAATACATACATTATTAAAAATGTAATTTACCAAAACTGACTCAAGAAGACAGAAGTAACTTCATAAGGAAATCAAAACAGTAGTTCAAATCTCCCCCCCCTCCAAAAAAAACAGGCCAAGGCAATTTTACAGGTGTATTCTACCAAACTTCAAGAAACATTAGCTCAGCCAGGTGTGGCAGCTCACACCTGTAATCCCAGCAGTTTGGGAGGCTGAGGTGGGAGGATCACTTGAGGCTAGGAATTCGAGACCAGCTTGGGCAAAAAAGTGAGACCCATTTCTACAAAAAACAAAAAAAGAAAGAAAGAAGCATGGTCTCAATTTTATCCAAACTTTCCCAGAAACCAGTAAAGGAGAAATTACCATTTAATTTGATGAAGCTATTCTAATTGCAACACCTAAGCCAAAAAAGCACAAACTAATGTAACAATTCTAAACAAGACATTATTAGAGCATAACCAAATACATGCACAATAAACAAGTCAGGCTAATCCTAGAAATGCAAGGATGGTTTAATCTTAAAGAATCTACATATGTCACTACAAGGAGAGAAACCATACCGTCATTTCAAAACAATTGTTTAAAGCATTTAATAAATTCAACACAAATTGTGATTTTCTTAATAAAGCTTTCAATAAGTTATGATTAGAAGAGAATTTCCTTAACTTGAAGAAAGCAATTTATAAAAAAGACCCTATTACACACATATCCTAATTGGAGAAACACTAGAACATTCCCTCTAAAATAAAAAACTAGGTAAAAATTAAAATAATATCACCATTTTAATTTAACATTGTACTGGCAGTCGGAGGCAATGCAATACGAAAAAAGGTTAAAAGCACAAATATTCAAAAATACAAAACTATCGGTAGTTCTTTCCTTTTTTTTGAGATAGAGATTTGCTCTGTCCCCCAGGCTGGAGTGCAGTGGCATGATCTCGGCTCACTACAATCCTACAATCTGCCTACCAGGTTCAAGTGATTCTCCCACCTCAGTCTCCCAAGTAGCTGGGGTTACAGACACCTACCATCATGCCTGGCAAATTTTTGTATTTTTAGTAAGACAGGGTTTCACCATGTTGACCAGGCTGGTCTTAAACTCCTGGCCTCAGGTGATCTGCCTGCCTCAGCCTCTCAGCGTGCTGGGATTACAGGTGTGAGCCACCGCACCTGGGCAAACCATCATTATTTCTAACTGGTTGTCTACAGAGACTCTAAATAGAATTGGAAATAGAATATTTAGCAAGTTAGCTTGATGAGATCAAAATGTAAAAAAGCCAATTGCATTTCTATACAATAAACCAAACTAAAAAATTAAGAAACAATGGGTATCTAGACGGGGAAAAAAGTGAAAATGGATCCCTACCTTATACACAAAAATTAACTGTACATGAATAAGTCTTCAATGTGAAAAATGCAACTTTGAAACATTCAGTAGGAATGATAAGCAGTGGTTTTCAGACCTTGGAGTAAGGCAGTCTTCTTAAGACCTAAAAGGTGCTGAAAAT